CACACAGACACACACCCACACACAGACACACACACACACACAGACACTCACACACACACACTCACACACACACAGACACTCACACACACACAGACACTCACACACACACAGACAGACACTCACACACAGACACTCACACACAGACACTCACACACACACCCACACACAGACACACACACACACACAGACACTCACACACACACACTCACACACACACAGACACTCACACACACACAGACACTCACACACACACAGACAGACACTCACACACAGACACTCACACACACACACTCACACACACACACTCACACACACAGACACTCACACACACACAGACACTCACACACACACACGCACACACACACACTCACACACACAGACACTCACACACACACAGACACTCACACACACACACTCACACACACACACACACTCACACAGACACTCAAACACACACAGACACTCACACACACACAGACACTCACACACACAGACACTCACACACACACAGACACTCACACACACAGACACTCACACACACAGACACTCACACACACACAGACACTCACACAGACACTCACACAGACACTCACACACAGACACTCACACAGACACTCACACACACACAGACACTCACACAACCACAGACACTCACACACACAGACACTCACACAGACACTCACACACACACAGACACACACACACACACAGACACACACACACACACACACAGAGACACACACACACACAGACACACACACACACAGACACTCACACAGACACTCACACAGACACTCACACACAGACACTCACACAGACACACACACACACACAGACACTCACACACACACAGACACTCACACACACACAGACACTCACACAGACACTCACACACACACAGACACTCACACACACACAGACACTCACACACACACAGACACTCACACACACACAGACACTCACACACACAGACACTCACACACACACAGACACTCACACACACACAGACACTCACACACACAGACACTCACACAGACACTCACACAGACACTCACACACACAGACACTCACACACACACAGACACTCACACACACAGACACTCACACACACACAGACACTCACACACACACTCACACACACAGACACTCACACACACACAGACACTCACACACACACACACTCACACAGACACTCACACACACACACACACACACAGACACTCACACAACCACAGACACTCACACACACAGACACTCACACAGACACTCACACACCACACACACACACAGACACACACACACACAGACAGACACACACAGACACACACACACACAGACACTCACACCCACACAGACACTCACACACACACAGACACTCACACCCACACAGACACTCACACCCACACAGACACTCACACACACACAGACACTCACACCCACACAGACACTCACACACAGACACTCACACACACACAGACACTCACACCCACACAGACACTCACACACACACAGACACTCACACACCCACAGACACTCACACACCCACAGACACTCACACACACAGACACTCACACACACACAGACACTCACACCCCCACAGACACTCACACACACACAGACACTCACACACACACAGACACTCACACCCACACAGACACTCACACACACACAGACACTCACACACACACAGACACTCACACCCACACAGACACTCACACACACACAGACACTCACACACACACAGACACTCACACCCACACAGACACTCACACACACACAGACACTCACACACACACAGACACTCACACACACACAGACACTCACACCTATCTCCCTCTCTCGCTCATTCACTCTCTCCCTCTCAATCACTCTTTCTCTCTCTCCCCCTCTCTCAATCACTCCCTCTCTCCCCCTCTCTCAATCACTCTCTCCCTCTCTATCACTCTCTCTCTCAATCACTCTCTCTCAATCACTCTTTCTCTCTCTCCCCCTCTCTCAATCACTCCCTCTCTCCCTCTCAATCACTCGCTCCCTCTCTCCCCCTCTCTCAATCACTCCCTCTCTCCCCCTCTCTCAATCACTCTCTCCCTCTCAATCACTCTCTCCCTCTCAATCACTCTCTCTCAATCACTCTCTCTCTCTCAATCACTCTCTCCCTCTCTCAATCACTCTCTCCCTCTCTCTCTCTCAATCACTCTCTCCCTCTCTCTCTCAATCACTCTCTCCCTCTCCCTCTCTCTCAATCACTCTCTCCCTCTCAATCACTCTCTCTCTCTCAATCACTCTCTCCCTCTCCCTCTCTCTCAATCACTCTCTCCCTCTCAATCACTCTCTCTCTCTCAATCACTCTCTCCCTCTCTCTCTCTCAATCACTCTCTCCCTCTCTCTCTCAATCACTCTCTCCCTCTCCCTCTCTCTCAATCACTCTCTCCCTCTCAATCACTCTCTCTCTCTCAATCACTCTCTCCCTCTCTCAATCACTCTCTCCCTCTCTCTCTCTCAATCACTCTCTCCCTCTCTCTCTCAATCACTCTCTCTCTCCCTCTCTCTCAATCACTCTCTCCCTCTCAATCACTCTCTCTCTCTCAATCACTCTCTCCCTCTCCCTCTCTCTCAATCACACTCTCTCTCTCAATCACTCTTTCTCTCTCTCCCCCTCTCTCAATCACTCTCACCCTCTCTCTCAATCACTCTCTCCGTCTCAATCACTCTCTCCCTCTCTCTCTCAATCACTCTCTCACTCTCTCTCTCTCAATCACTCTCTCCCTCTCTCTCTCAATCACTCTCTCCCTCTCTCTCTCAATCACTCTCTCCCTCTCTCTCTCCCTCTCAATCACTCCCTCTCTCCCCTTCTCTCAATCACTCTCTCCCTCTCAATCACTCGCTCCCTCTCTCCCCCTCTCTCAATCACTCTCTCCCTCTCTCTCTCTCTCCCCCTCTCTCAATCACTCTCTCCCTCTCTCCCCCTCTCTCAATCATTCTCTCTCCCTCTCTCTCTCTCAATCACTCTCTCGCTCTCTCTCTCTCAATCACTCTCTCTCTCTCTCCGCCCCCCCCCCCACCCCACACCCCACCGCCACTCTCCCCCTTCCCCCCCCCCCCCCACCGCACCTGTCCTTGCAGCCGTCCGTGCAGTCGCAGCCGACCAGGAACTGAGGCGAGTTGTTGATGTAGACGCCCTCTCCGGGGATCCTCTCTTTGCTGTAGGCCACCTGGGGAGGGGGGGTCATGTCGATCTCGTTCACGCACGACAGCGCCACGTCCTCCGCGCCGTAGGTCAGGTCCCTGATGTAGTAGAAGGGCTTCTGCGGCTGGAACTTGCGGTCGACCAGCACGTACGGGTCGAAGCAGAACATGTCCAGGTAGAGGAAGTCGGACTTCGTGTCAAACAGGTAATGTTCCACCTGGAAGCCGGAGAGCGCGGAGTAATAACGGCGTAAGAACACGAACATAACCGCAGAGCGAGAGAGACAGAGAGAGAGAGAGAGAGAGAGAGAGAGGGAACAATAACAGGAATATAATGTGGGGACGTCGCTGAGCGCAATTGGCCGCCGCGGTTCGCCCACAAGTAGACGGTCACTGCACTGTCCGGCCCTGTCCGCCTGGGAATCGAACCCGGGTCCCTCTGGCTCGCGAGGGGAGGGGTCTGACCCCCTGAGCTACAGGGGCTGTGGGGTGCGAGGCGAGGGGTCTAACCCCTGAGCTACCGGGGCTGTGGGGTGCGAGGCGAGGGGTCTGACCCCTGAGCTACAGGGGCTGTGGGGTGTGAGGGGGGGGTCTGACCCCTGAGCTACAGGGGCTGTGGGGTGTGAGGGGGGGGGTCTAACCCCTGAGCTACAGGGGCTGTGGGGTGTGAGGGGGGGGTCTAACCCCTGAGCTACAGGGGCTGTGGGGTGTGAGGGGAGGGGTCTGACCCCTGAGCTACAGGGGCTGTGGGGTGTGAGGGGTCTGACCCCTGAGCTACAGGGGCTGTGGGGTGTGAGGGGAGGGGTCTGACCCCTGAGCTACAGGGGCTGTGGGGTGTGAGGGGAGGGTCTGACCCTGAGCTACAGGGGCTGTGGGGTGTGAGGGGAGGGGCTAACCCCTGAGCTACAGGGGCTGTGGTGTGAGGGGAGGGGCTAACCCCTGAGCTACAGGGGCTGTGGGGTGTGAGTGAGGGGTCTGACCCCTGAGCTACAGGGGCTGTGGTGTGTGAGGGAAGGGGTCTGACCCCTGAGCTACAGGGGCTGTGGGGTGTGAGGGGAGGGGTCTGACCCCTGAGCTACAGGGGCTGTGGGGTGTGAGGGGAGGGGTCTAACCCCTGAGCTACAGGGGCTGTGGGGTGTGAGGGGAGGGGTCTGACCCCTGAGCTACAGGGGCTGTGGGGTGTGAGGGAGGGGTCTGACCCCTGAGCTACAGGGGCTGTGGGGTGCGAGGGGAGGGGTCTGACCCCTGAGCTACAGGGGCTGTGGGGTGTGAGGGGAGGGGTCTGACCCCTGAGCTACAGGGGCTGTGGGGTGTGAGGGGAGGGGTCTGAACCCCTGAGCTACAGGGGCTGTGGGGTGTGAGGGAGGGGTCTGACCCCTGAGCTACAGGGGCTGTGGGGTGTGAGGAGGGGTCTGACCCCTGAGCTACAGGGGCTGTGGGGTGTGAGGGGGAGGGGTCTGACCCCTGAGCTACAGGGGCTGTGGGGTGGGGGGAGGGGTCTGACCCCTGAGCTACAGGGGCTGTGGGGTGTGAGGGGAGGGGTCTGACCCCTGAGCTACAGGGGCTGTGGGGTGTGAGGGGAGGGGTCTGACCCCTGAGCTACAGGGCTGTGGGGTGTGAGGGAGGGGTCTGACCCCTGAGCTACAGGGGCTGTGGGTGTGAGGGAGGGTCTGACCCCTGAGCTACAGGGGCTGTGGGGTGTGAGGGGAGGGGTCTGACCCTGAGCTACAGGGGCTGTGGGGTGCGGGGGGAGGGGTCTGACCCCTGAGCTACAGGGGCTGTGGGGTGTGAGGGGGGGGTCTGACCCCTGAGCTACAGGGGCTGTGGGGTGTGAGGAGGGTCTAACCCCTGAGCTACAGGGGCTGTGGGGGTGGGTCTGACCCCTCGAGGAGGGGAGGGCGGGAGGGTGGGAGGTGGGTGTGTGTGTGGTGGGGACGCTCACCTCCTGCATGTTGCGCAGGCTGAGGCCGCAGGGAGCCCGGTAGACCACGTGGAAGGACATCTTCCGGTTGACCCTGCGCCGGGCGGTCATCCGGCGGAAGCGCTGCAGGAGTGGGACGAGGAGGGGTGTGTGTGTTACAGGTTAAACGCCGCCCCGCACTGACCCGCGTGCGTGCGCGTGTGTTACAGGTTAAACGCCGCCCCACACTGAGCTGTGTGCGCGTGTTTGTGTGTGTTACAGGTTAAACGCCGCCCCGCACTGACCTGTGCGCGCACGTGTGTGTGTGTGTTACAGGTTAAACGCCGCCCCACACTGACCCGCGTGCGTGTGTGTTACAGGTTAAACGCCGCCCCCGCACTGACCCGCGTGCGCGCGCGTGTGTGTGTGTTACAGGTTAAACGCCGCCCCCGGCCTCGACGGCACGAACTCGCTGCCGAAACAGCACAAGCCCCCGGAGGACCGGCTGTCGGCGGAGCTGCCCTACACGGCCCCCAGCGACAAGCTCCTGTACGTGCCCCACAGGTGCGGCCGGGCCTGCGTGGAGAGCCTGAGGCCCAGCAGCCGGGACCAGCACCGGGGCCGGAA